GTCTCTTAAAAACTAAGGTACCGTTGTAAAGTTTTCAAAACTTATGAAGGCTTTTGAGAATGCTTTTTCATTAAAAAGACAACTCATGATGACTATGAAGTAAATAGTGGAAAATTACCTTTCAACCACATATCAACATGGAAAATATACATTTATTTCCATTAGTATTAACGGAATACTCGATTTGCACAAACGTGGCCTACCATGGCATAGGACTATGAGATCTCGTTCTTCACTGATATTGTTTAATTTGTTTTGAGAGAACGACAACTTGACAAAATGGGTAGTAAATGACGTCTAGTCTCTACGATCCTTCCTAGTCAGATTAGAGTGACTTGAACACTACATGCTAGACCTACCTAACTTCGAAACACTGAACATGAATACTACATAAATATCTGCAACTAGCCTGCGCTGGCGATCAATGATACTTCTAGTTAAAGGATTTATAAGGTCCGACCGAATGGAGCTGTAGGTTAGGCGATTCCCTTTCAAATGTTCGATCAGAGCTTTTCAACCACCACTCGCATTCACCATATTTCTTACAACTGACTAGTCAGTACCTTGGACATTAGTACAAAGGGTGACTTACAAGTTGATGTGTGTGCATCCATACTTCCCAACGCGATTGATTAACACTACAACTACGTACTTAAGACAAGTAAGCTTTCAGAAAAATGAACCCGAAGAAATTAACCCAGTAGTTGATAATTTTAAAATAATATTTAATAATGGTTAACTAGTTCACAACTCACCATATATCGTGCGAGAAAGTCGCGACATATTACTACTTACAAATTGGTAGTTGAAAATCAAGTATGCACAACACTAAGACTCAGTTACAAAACTACCCTTAAATGCAACATATATACCGAAGACAGATTGTTTTTTATTCTATTGAGATCAATCATTTGCGGACAACCACAAAAAAACAAACAGCTGCGTTATAACGGAATATAACGTTTCATATCATTGGTTAAGTTATAATGTAAAACCGAGAAAAAGTTCCAGAACACATTGGAGTGGATGGCACATTGATGAATTTTCGGTGGTCTTATGAACTATACTAGCAAATTGAAATTCTATTTCACACAACACAAAATGATGTTGGGATAGTTGACATACAGGAAGACAATTGCATTTCCTACTGAGGATTTCGGTACTTTGAAGCATGTTAATTTTATCAAATCAACGGTAAAATCACACTCATTTTGTTAAGTACGTTCTGCAATGCCTAGGACAACGGGAGTGACACGCTGAAACTTAGAATGTAGATACAGCATATTGAAATATACCCTAAGGAAGTCAAACAAAATCTCCTATAATCATACAATCGTGACAATAGAAAAATAAATACGATTAGAGTACTAAATTAATAACCTTCAGTTAAAACATTCTCTATTAAGACACTACCACATATGAGTCCCTTTCAGTTGTCACAACATAGCAAGCACAATAAGACGAAATCATCGACATAAGTATAAGGGCACTAAAAGCAGTGAGAGTACTAGTGATAGTAGGAAAAGATTACCTATTACACTTGTTTAAACATATAAACATCGGTACATAGGGGGGTCGAAATAGATATGCGCCACACAAATTAGTTATCATTCAACTTTTGTGTGGGCTGGAATACTTTCCGGGTGTCCAAAGCGAAACAGGTGATTTCCTTAGAGGTCCACCCTTCGAGACTTTGGTTTAGAGATCTAATGCACGATGCAGTCGGGCAACGTCAGAAGACCAGGTTCTATGGTGGCCGATGACCAAGAATAGGTTGCCACTTCACTTGTTCCCTGGGGATCCTAAAGCCAATGCGCATCACTGGTTTGGAATCAGAGTTTTCCAACCCACCTAGGTGGATCTCCGTGCCCACCAACCCGGTTTAAGTGCCGGACATTCTCTTTTCGTCCCTCCAATTTTGTAAACATTACCCCCGCTGCGAGAAGGAAGTGGTCAAATGAGAGAATTTCGAGGAGAGCGAACTCTTCACACTCACGACCGTACCAGGGCATTTGGAGGCATAAGAAAGACTATGTATTGACAATGTGATTCGGGAGGAATTCGTGGAGTCAAAAAACATAAAATATTTTTCGACATTAGGATCTAGGGAGAAACGAAGAGTAAGTGTATTTGCACTATTTCGATCGCTTCCGAGACATCTCATCCAACATCTCTAGCAATTAGATAATCGTGTAGACCCTAATCTAGTAGTCCGCACATACCAACACGGCTCAAACAGTCAATCACTTTATGGACTCGTGCGAAATCTTGTTCTTGGCCGTCCCTAGCCTTGTCACATCTCAATCCAGCACCGACAAACGTCTATTGTTACGGCAAGAGGTAGTTGGAATACATAATAATATTCCGGTCACATAAGCAAGTGGACGTTTACTATCTTGCTGACAGATTTTCCATAGTTACTTCGTTCTATGAGCCCAACCTCAGCATTCCTTACTTGGCGGTCACAACACGTTGGCAATGCTTCGAAGGTTTCGATGACTAGACACTAGCAAACTACGGACACCTACTTTTAAAGGCCATGATTTGTAAACATGGAGTAGGAAAGGTTGGAATGCTACACAATACATTTATTCTTTAGTTGATAGACGGACATCTCGGTTATGCCTCAGATACTGCAACTGGACAAAAGACAGGTGAACTTTCTGAAACCTTGTCGAAATCTCGTCAGGCACCGACCTGACAGGTCTGGCGAGACTTCGAAGATAAATGGGGTGCCAAGCACGCTCAACCACTTCAGTCTACATCATTAGTTCAGACGTCAACGCAGTTCTCAAGCAACATCTTGCATTTAGACGGAGAAAGCACATCCCAAACATGCTTGGTTTTCCGCTCGTGGTGATTAGATGACACTGTATTCCCTCAGAGAACTTTGTCGTCTGAGTATTGGAAGTAGATAGGTGGACCTCCCGGTAGGTCCTGAAAAGTCATAAATGACAGTGTTAACTATAAAAGAATGTCCGTGAAAAAATCGAATAAGAACGAGAAAAAGGGATAATGCAGCTATCACTACTGTTTCAGGAAAGCAAATATCGTTATTACCCTTCTTATTTTCTTTTCCTCTTTCTGGTTGTCCCTCTATGTGAATACAAGCCAAGAGGACTTGCTATAACTGTGGGTATGACTGTGCTTTCTGTTTGTCCTCATAATGACATAATGGAACACATAGTTGCTTCTATCCTATGGGGTTGGGAGTGATAAGATTTGTGATTTGTGATTTGTGTAGTAAGGACAGAAGGCCTACGGCCTATGTTATTCCTTTTCTAGTATGCTTCTGTGAGTGTCCAGTCTTCTCTTGAAAGAGTCAATTGAAGGTGCGGATACCACTGCTTCAGGCAGCAGGTTCCAAGTATTGATGACTCGGTGTGAAAACCTGTATGCCAGGGGTATTTTGTTCGTTCTTGGCTTTTCTACTCGCCTGCTATGTCCTCTGAGGTGTCCCGATCTAGTGGGAAGGAAGAGAGAGAATAAGTTAGGTCCGAAATCATTTCTTAGTATTCTGTACATCAATATTAGATCTCCCCTTAGTCTGCGATAGGACAGAGTAAAGAGGTTCAGTTTTTCAAGCCGCTCTTCATATGATAAACCCCGGAGTTCCGGAATCGCACGCGTAGCTGCCCTCTGTACCTTTTCTAGTATGTCTGAGTCACCTTTTAAACAGGGGCTTGCAGCCTGAACACAGTTCTCTAACTTAGTTCTCACTAAGGATGTGTATAATGTGGTGAACATGGTAGTATCAAGCTTAGTGAATGTCCTTTTTAAAGCCCAGAGGGTTCGAAACCCCTTAACTGCGACCTCCCGGCAATGGGCCGTCGTCTTAAGATCATTGCTCACTGTCACCCCTAGGTCCTTATGAGACCGGACTACGGGTAATGACACATCCCCTATGTTGTACGTATTAACCTTTGAATCCCCCAAGTGCATGTAGACACACTTTTCCGAGTTGATAGGCATTAGCCACTCTTTAGACCAGTTTATCATATTATTTAAGTCCGCCTGAAGAGTAAATGCGTCTGTGTCACCAGTTATTACTCGCCAAATTTTTACATCGTCAGCGTATAATAACATTGGAGACTGTACTATACTTGTAAGATCATTAACGTACATTATAAAAAGTAAAGGACCTAGGACGGAACCTTGGGGTACTCCACTAAGTACTGGTCTCCAGATGGAGCACTTGGAATTTATTCTTACTTTTTGCCTACGACCTACTAGGAAATCCTTAATCCATTTTAAAAGAGGTCCGGCAATACCAAGGTTTGCCAACTTCAATAGCAGTCTATTAGTTGGCACCTTGTCAAAAGCCTTACTGAAGTCTATGTAGACAACATCCACTGAGTTTCCGTTGTCTAGCGCATTAATCCAGAGCTCCCTAGCTATAAGGAGGTTCGTTGTACAGGATAGACCCTTTCTAAAACCATGTTGTGCCATGTTCAGCAAGTTATTGGTTTCCATAAATGCCGTTATGGTCCGTTTGATTATCCCTTCCAGTATTTTAATTACAACACTGGTGAGGCTTACGGGTCTGTAATTTGATGGAACTTGTCGTAGACCAGTTTTATGTATGGGAGTGACGATTGCGTCCTTCCAGTCCATAGGTAACACACCTTGGTCAAGTGACATTTTGAATATCACAGTCAGTGGGGCTGCGATATATTGGGCAATATGTCTCAAGATTTTAGGGTGTAGTTCATCTGGTCCTGTTGACTTCTCCATGTTTAGGGTGCTAAGAGCCTTAAGCACATCGTTTTGGTCGAAGTCCACGGTGAGCAGCTGGTTTGTTGACTCTGTAATTGGGTCTGGTTCTTTCTCTAGAGGAGGTTCCTGAGTGAAAACTGCCCAGATAATAACCATTCTATGACATTATTTTCTGGAGAGATGTAGTTTCTTGTCACCATCCACAGTTCTCTGAGGGTGTCACATGCTTCTATTATTTCACGCTTTATTGATTGTTCAGAAGTCAAAACTAAAACACTATACACAATTAAACTAACGTTGTACAGTTTCAGGCATGGTCATTTTGTTAAGAGCGTTCTGCAGTTCTGTGGGGCATGGATTTAGCTGTATATGAGGATTGCAAGCAGTCGAGTTGTTAATTTTAATGCGTGGAAATCCATAATTTGTATCACATTTTTCTAAACTCATTCAAGGAAGCATAAGTTTCAAAAATATTAGTGTATACTCATTTTTAGCTAAAGCATGGGACTATTTTGGTAGTGTAAGCCTTTTGTACCCAAGTTGATTCAGAATTCTTAGTGCCAAATAAGTACTGAGATGCCTACAACTAATACTAGGACAACATAAGGGGAACAACGCTAAAGGAACTGTCTATTTGTACATTACAGGCTTTTTTATGATCTTATAAAGTCGTTTATTTGAAGAAAGAGGGATAGGTTTACGTAACTAGGAAACATATTCCTAATCCCAGCTGTGAAAGAATTCTTCCTTTTCTTGAATTTCAGGGCTAACGTAACCTAGCTACGATCTTTCCTCCCTTTTCTTGTTTAATTCAACGATTAAAACCCAATGGACATTCAGAACCTGATTCTTCTTGAGTTAACGGGTGAAAGTTATTTTAAATCAGATAAATTGGCTGAAAAGCTTGGAGTCGATCATCAAGTAGTTGTTGGAGGAATAAAAAGTTTGGAAAACTATAGTGGGGTGCGTTCTTGAAAACGCTTATATATTTCGCTGTCTGTAGATAATAGATTGTAAAGATGTGGTCGAGGTTATTTTACAGTTAACAGATGAAGGTGATGAGATTCTAAATAGTGGTAGTCATGAGTACAGAGTATACTGTGCTATTCCAGAATCAGGGATACCACAAAGTGATATTTTGGTTTGTTACTGATCTCAAATTTACAATTTGATAGAAAATGTTTCCAGGTGCTAAAATAGGTATTAGCAAAGCCCTTTCGTCGAAGTGGGTATCACTAGTTAAGAATGAAGCTGGTGTACCTTATTTGTATCGTTTGGTAATTGTGTAATTAATTAAAAATATCATATTAGATTCCAGAAGTCAAGGATGATGTACAACATTTATTGTTAGATGTAAAAGAGTCTAAACGTCCTCTATCAGATAACGAGAAGTCCCAATTGAAAAAACGAAAACTAGTTACCGAATCGTATGCTAATCTTATTTTTATCACAATCGTAATTTTATAGAAAGCGCACATCCTACTTGGTACGAAAAGGCCCATCATTTTCAACAAATATAAGATCTGAAGAAACAGATTTATCATCTGAGTTGCTTTCCAGGTGAGAAATCGTAAAATTACAGTGTTTTTGCCTCTGTATTTTGTCAGATGTGGATCTTCTCAAGCCATATTATAATGACCTGGCACACTTGTGATTTCATACCTAACGGGATTTCACAAATACAAAATAAGATACTCACTTTTTGAAACCCAAATCAACCTAATTCATTTTTTGTATTGGTTGTTTGAATCTTCCCATTGATGTTTAGGACTGAAATAGACCAGTCTCTTATTGGCACATGTTCATTCTTTGTGGATTACCTTAAATCGGGAGCATTATAAGCACAAGTTAAGGGTTATCCAGACTCAGTGGATAAGTTGATAACGCGAACGGTTCTCTGTTCGAGTAAGCATCAACTCAGAGATGCAAGTACATCCAGATGCCGAGTCCCAAATAGGACGGAATGCGCATCCTGAATTTTACTGCTAGCCACCATCCATTTTTGCCAAATCAATTTTTTATGCCACTCGCAAATATGATACTAAAGGGTGTAAAAGTGTACTTTGAACACAGTCACAGTTCGACAGATTATTCTTATTATTCGTAATTAAGTAAGCTTTGTCAATGATCTCAACAATGTATATTAAGAAATATACTATGTATATATTTCTATCCTGTTCGAGCAAACAATTATCTCATCTAGTTAATTACTCTGAAGGCAAGTTTGTTAGTTATCCTTATTCATTTACTTATAACACGTAAAGAAACTTTGGTACGACGAGTCATCAAGGTAATTATTTATTTAGTACACACAAATTTGCTACAACTGTGTAACAGGATAGAATGCGCTACACAAAATACGGAGATGACATTATGAAGAAAACAATTGAGTAAAATCGAAGAGAAAAGGTAAATACAAATAGTATATAGTGAAAAGTACAGCTGAGTTCATAAGACAACTGGGAGAAGCTTTTTTCTGTCGCAAGAGATTCAAAGAACAATACAACAAGATTGTCATTGGATTCTATTCTAAGCCATATCTGATAACGTCTCAGGCCGCCGAGTTGTACCATCTCCAAATACTGTGGTACAACCAAGGACAGGAAATGTCTGTCCTCCATCGAAACGCTTCTATACTACCACCTCTCTTTGAATGACGTTCTGAAAACAGCCTTAAAGAAACTACGTAGTAATAGTGTGGATCGGTTTCCTAGAGAAAGACTTCTTGAGTATGCGGATGATATTGTTATATTGTGCAATAATACACAAGTTATGTAAATCGCACTTTATTGGCAAACGTTCAGTGTCTTTTAGAAATACATTACATTCTGAAAGTATGAAATACACACCAGTTAGATGTGGTTCATGTAACCTGTATCTCAACCCACGAGTTTTATGACTACCATCGGAGAATATACTGATGCTCTACTTTGTTTCCCTGCATACTATATTCAGAACAACTTGGTTACATTTACACCGTCACTCATATATATGTTTTTATTCCGATTTTGTTTACACTTCAATTCACTCAACGGCCCATTTATATTAAAAGTCCTGTCCCTTCCAAACGGTCTCAAGAAAAAACTCGACAAATATCGTAGTACTAACGGGAGTCTTGGATCCTCAGGTCGGGTGTTTTGGCTTAGGTGTGTTTTGCTTGGGTTCTAGTAGAGCTTGATGGTCACAATTCAAATGAAAATACTACTTTCTGTAGCTCTATGCAAACTACAGTCTGTTATTAGTTTTGAGCAACACTATCTAGGATTCTCAACAGCATGAATTGTCGTCAGTGGTGTTGAAATATATTTAATCTCTCAGTAAAACATATGATGGCCACAGGAATCAGTAGTGTATGTTAATTTAGTCGTCCTTGCAATATTTAGTTTAGCCCTGCTCCTAGTAGCATTGTATAGTTCTGCAGATGGTCTCACTTAGTATAATACAATCTAATCATATGGTCACTAGCCTCGACACTCAAATCGGCTAACTTCAAAATCACCATCTTAGTGGTCCTACAATTTTCAATGAAAATTCCAAAGACATCTATAGTCGAGTACTCGTAATTCACACGTTTATGGGTTTTCAGTGGTTAGATTTAGCTGATGTAAAGTTTGACAGCAGATTTCTGCACAGCATATTCACTGTTTGGCAGTTTGATGATGAAAAGAAAGGATCGTACAACTTTGAGTACTGTAATCAGGTGCGTATAGTAATATTGTCTCAAGAATTCTTTGGTGTCTTTCGTAAGTAGTAGTTATCAGCGTTATGTTCACTTGGTTTTACTGTATTATTATACTTTGTGGAACTTTTGGTTTCTATTATGCTCTAATTAAATAGCTGTGCCAAATCACACTAAAATTAATACGGTTGGTTAAAATTACCAATCTCCGTAGCAGTTTGATGTACTTGGTTAACTTAAGAAACTATATGTGTTCTTAAAGTCAATTAGTTTTCATCCTGCTTCTCCAGTCACAATCGGTTAAGGTAGATACTATTAGCAGTGAAATTAGATCCATTCGTCCAAAAGGATACTGTCATTTATTGCTAGCATCATATAAATAACTTGCTTGATGTACATGTTGCTCTTAATTTGTCGAAAAATGTAATTATAAAGATTCAATTAACTCACCTGTGGAATATTCAGTTCAAGTCCCACTACACATAATTTAATCTGTAGCTCTGAAATAAGTGTGTCTGAAATCCCAGTACAAATAACTACTCTGTCACAAAGTGTTATTAACTTTATCATTGTTATTACCATTCCTATTCAAATTAATGTTCTGTTTTTATGTGGTTTGTTAATATATTTTGGGTAGTGGGGAATGGCAAACAGCTCAATTTAAGGCTTATAACTTTTACTCTCTTGGTGCCGCTTTACCATCTGGACATCTTCATCCTCTTCTGCGTGTACGCTCAGAATTCTGTAGGATACTTTGTGATATGGGGTATGTTGCTCATTTTTTTGTTTTATCGTGATATATTTTTTTCATGAGTTTAAGTCGTACCTCTCAAATATGTGTGCTTGGTGTTCGTTTGACATCTGTTCATTACTTCTTGTTTAGTGAACATTTGATTAAGGAATTACTGTTGATTGTCAACTGTTAAATCTAAAAAAGATAAAGAGTATTTTAGTGAATAATTGTCTCTAATATCTTCAGGCCATAAATATAATGTTACATATACAATGTTGCATATACAAGTCATGGTTGAGTAAGTTGATGTGTTCAGTCAGTTTATCAATCACAACATATAGCCTGGTACGTATGTACATCGATTGGAGTTGCCGTACCCCTTGGCACAGAAAGATCAAATCGTCAGGTCAAATCCCAAAATCGTAGAGGTAGTAACAGTATCAGTGGTAATTAGAAAGATTGAGCGTTAACGACGCGACTTAAAAAGAAAATATAAACTAGTGGAACAAAAACACGACAATGTTTATGACGAATCTAGAAGTTCAGAACTTAGGGACAGACAACGAATGGAAGCACCTGCGTCATTGCAGACGATTTTGGACCATAACATTCAAAGTCTGCAACCACTGGTTACAATAGTCACGCAGACCCAAACCAGGTAGTCTATATTTATTAACATTGCTAAGTTTAATTGTCAGTGACTTCATGGACTGATTCCATGTTTTGGTTTGCCCCCCATAGTTTTTTTCCAGCCTATTCCTGCACCAGGAAACATCACTTGTCGAGGTAGGTAGTGGTTTGGCATATGTGACAAATGTCGCAACCACCTCAATTGATCAAGATTTACTATCTCATCCATCGATTTGACATCCTTACCTATTACCCTATTCCTAATCCAGGCATTACTTACTCTGGTCCCAAAATACACAGGCTATGCTTCGTGGACACCTATGATGGAATACCAGTAACCCACTAATACCCTCTACTCTTAATGATCATTCTTCGTATCCATACAGAAGTACAGAGCGAGCTGCTGCATGGTAAACTCGCTGTTTGGTTGGCAGACGGATATCTCACCTACGGTAAAAGTGATACGAGTTATCGAAAGCCGATCGAGTCTTCTGAATTTTTGCCTGGATTTCTTGAGACACCAGACTATCAGTACTGATGAGAATCTCAAGATAAATGGAGTGGTTGATGAGTTCAACTACTTCACTCCCTATCATTAAAGTTAGTGCTGTTAGTTGGAAATGGTGCATTACACGTTGATCGTTTTCTAAATACACTAACAAAACACGTCATTATACCCTTCTTATGTAACTTCTTAACTTTACTGAAGACCTTTTCACATACTTAAATGTAGTGAGTCCTTATAAGTAAATCAGATTGGTATCCAAAAAGTTAATACAAATTAGAATGATTGTTATCCCGTTAATAATAATACTAACAATATTTTTATTGCTATTATCACCATTATTATTATTATTATTATTATTATTATTATTATTATTATTCGTAGTAAAATTATTGTTGGAAATACGTCGAGAAATCTTTTGTTACTAGGTTTCTCCTCACACATCAAACGTACTGATGGCAATGCATTATTAAATGAGATTCGAAGTTTTCGTTGACAAACTATTTTGTTGCATACAATTAGTGTGTCATATGAATAATAATGATAGTTTTAAATATTATTCCAAGTTTTGTAAAACGGTTCGTTCCCCAGTTTTGTTAGAAAAATATCCGTAAATATCGAACCTGCGGGAGATTCCATTCCTAATCTATCTGTCTAACTGTAAAGTTTATTGTTATATGTGGATTGGATATTCATTGTGCATTCGATCAGAAGCTCGTTCATGTTACCTTCCGGTATCAATATAACTATTTCTTCTCTGTTAGTTATCCGCTTATGTGGTCGATGGTTTCATTCAGTGTAATATTTGTAATTCAGCGTGTGTTGGGAGACAACAGTTTTATTTATTAAATCTGTATTTTCAACAAATACAATGCTGCGTTTGATTATATCTCGGTGTAATTGCTCTCATAATTTCACCAATCATTTTTTTGTTGAATGGTACAGTGTTTGCGATGTTAAGAATCTGGTAAGCAAGGACACCTTGGCTTATGAATTGGGTCGGCAACTTATATATATATATATATCAGCCCATGAAGTGATTGACTGTTTGAGCCGTGTTGGTATGTGCGGACTACTAGATTAGGGTCTACACGATTATCTAATTGCTAGAGATGTTGGATGAGATGTCTCGGAAGCGATCGAAATAGTGCAAATACACTTACTCTTCGTTTCTCCCTAGATCCTAAGGTCGAAAAATATTTTATGTTTTTTACTCCACAAATTCCTCCCGAATCACATTGTCAATACATAGTCTTTCCTATGCCTCCACATGCCCTGGTACGGCCGTGAGTGTGAAGAGTTCGCTCTCCTCGAAATTCTCCCATTTGACCACTTCCTTCTCGCAGTGAGGGTATTGTTTACGAAATTGGAGGGACGAAAAGAGAATGTCCGGCACTTAAACCGGGTTGGTGGGCACGGAGATCCACCTAGGTGGGTTGGAAAACTCTGATTCCAAACCAGTGATGCGCATTGGCTTTAGGATCCCCAGGGAACAAGTGAAGTGGCAACCTATTCTTGGTCATCGGCCACCATAGAACCCGGTCTCCTGACGTTGCTCGACTGCATCGTGGATTAGATCTCTAAACCAAAGTCTCGAGGAGTGGATCTCTAAGGAAATCACCTGTTTCGCTTTGGACACCCGGAAAGTATTCCAGCCCACACAAAAGTTGAATGATAACTAATTTGTGTGGCGCATATCTATTTCGACCCCCCTATGTACCGATGTTTATATGTTTAAACAAGTGTAATAGGTAATCTTTTCCTACTATCACTAGTACTCTCACTGCTTTTAGTGCCCTTATACTTATGTCGATGATTTCGTCTTATTGTGCTTGCTATGTTGTGACAACTGAAAGGGACTCATATGTGGTAGTGTCTTAATAGAGAATGTTTTAACTGAAGGTTATTAATTTAGTACTCTAATCGTATTTATTTTTCTATTGTCACGATTGTATGATTATAGGAGATTTTGTTTGACTTCCTTAGGGTATATTTCAATATGCTGTATCTACATTCTAAGTTTCAGCGTGTCACTCCCGTTGTCCTAGGCATTGCAGAACGTACTTAACAAAATGAGTGTGATTTTACCGTTGATTTGATAAAATTAACATGCTTCAAAGTACCGAAATCCTCAGTAGGAAATGCAATTGTCTTCCTGTATGTCAACTATCCCAACATCATTTTGTGTTGTGTGAAATAGAATTTCAATTTGCTAGTATAGTTCATAAGACCACCGAAAATTCATCAATGTGCCATCCACTCCAATGTGTTCTGGAACTTTTTCTCGGTTTTACATTATAACTTAACCAATGATATGAAACGTTATATTCCGTTATAACGCAGCTGTTTGTTTTTTTGTGGTTGTCCGCAAATGATTGATCTCAATAGAATAAAAAACAATCTGTCTTCGGTATATATGTTGCATTTAAGGGTAGTTTTGTAACTGAGTCTTAGTGTTGTGCATACTTGATTTTCAACTACCAATTTGTAAGTAGTAATATGTCGCGACTTTCTCGCACGATATATGGTGAGTTGTGAACTAGTTAACCATTATTAAATATTATTTTAAAATTATCAACTACTGGGTTAATTTCTTCGGGTTCATTTTTCTGAAAGCTTACTTGTCTTAAGTACGTAGTTGTAGTGTTAATCAATCGCGTTGGGAAGTATGGATGCACACACATCAACTTGTAAGTCACCCTTTGTACTAATGTCCAAGGTACTGACTAGTCAGTTGTAAGAAATATGGTGAATGCGAGTGGTGGTTGAAAAGCTCTGATCGAACATTTGAAAGGGAATCGCCTAACCTACAGCTCCATTCGGTCGGACCTTATAAATCCTTTAACTAGAAGTATCATTGATCGCCAGCGCAGGCTAGTTGCAGATATTTATGTAGTATTCATGTTCAGTGTTTCGAAGTTAGGTAGGTCTAGCATGTAGTGTTCAAGTCACTCTAATCTGACTAGGAAGGATCGTAGAGACTAGACGTCATTTACTACCCATTTTGTCAAGTTGTCGTTCTCTCAAAACAAATTAAACAATATCAGTGAAGAACGAGATCTCATAGTCCTATGCCATGGTAGGCCACGTTTGTGCAAATCGAGTATTCCGTTAATACTAATGGAAATAAATGTATATTTTCCATGTTGATATGTGGTTGAAAGGTAATTTTCCACTATTTACTTCATAGTCATCATGAGTTGTCTTTTTAATGAAAAAGCATTCTCAAAAGCCTTCATAAGTTTTGAAAACTTTACAACGGTACCTTAGTTTTTAAGAGACCTGATTTTCCATTTCTGTTCATCACATTCATTCCGTATCCTAAACATTTCAGGTTTTCAGAAATGCCTACGAACAATTATGTTGAGTGCAGTTTTTGGAATTTCGATAGTCTTTTTCAACCACAACAACATCCTGCTCGAGATTCTCATGATACATTTTTCCTTGCAGGTAAATTATTAGCCTGCTATGGGCTTTTTGCGTCGAATTATTTAGTCTTTTTGTGTCTATGTGAATATCTTCTGTAGGATGGTTGGTTTGTTTGTTCGTTGGGCAGTACTGTTTTTATATTCTAATTATTGACAAAAGTCCATTGTCAAAGTGAATTCAGTTAGTGCTAGTCATCTTCCAACAATATGGAGTTAGGCAAAATGTTTGTCGGTCTATCTGACCACAGTTTACATAATCACAGAGGATAAAGAGAAAATGTGCCGAAGTAGCAATGTGAATGATACAGTAGTAATTCATCGTCTCTATCTCACAACTCGTGAAAATTGCAATTTCCATTGTAAGGATAATTGAAATGTATCTACGCAAGTTTTAACGACACTCATCCCTCCTTGTTCTGATTTAAATGAACTTCAAGTGTTTGAACTCATTACCTGACAGTTTCTAAACTGTCGGAAGTCTTGTGAGATATAATTGCATCATATTTATCTTGGGTCTCTACTTGACAAAGATATTTAGCTTAGTAGACAGTTCCCCCATTTATTTATTCACTCGGTTATGTAATGTGTTTGATGTTATGTATTAATCTGTCAATTTTACAGACCAACATCATTAAAGGTTTGATCTAAAATGAACGATATTTTTCGAAAGACAATGATTGACCAACTGGTATGCCAGTGTTTCGATGAATATCACTACCAAGTTAAGTATGTGTTCATATGTAACCGATCAACTAGAGTATAATTGTTGTTGTTTATTGTCTACAGTGACTGATACTTTGCGATTAGAACTAAATACACCAGTTGGAATGGAATATGAAACTTAATTTGAGATGCTGTTACGGTTGGTCTTTGTTTATGTTTCTCTTTCTACGACAGTTCAATGGATTACTTGTTTGGTTTTAGTTTGCTGGTGTTCTCGCCGTACTTGTAACCGGCTGATTACGAATTAATGCTTCAAACTAATGTCATTTATGTTTTATAATGACTAGCATACTATATGGAAAATGTGATTATTTAAAATGTGTTGTTGTATTGTAAATTCTGAAATCAATTGCGACTTGATTATAGCTTCATTTCTATTGTCTTCATGGGCCATAATTACTATATTTTCATCTGTAGATCCTGAGATTTCAGATATCAACAATACAGTTGAATCTTGTTACATTGATAAAGTTCGTACTGTGCATAGTCAAGGTGCTTTTGGTAGTCGAGGCTATCAGTCACCATGGCTAATAGAGGAAGCGGAGAAAAATTTGTTGCGTACACATACAACAGCAGTGAGCGCCCGAATGCTTCATGCATTATCTAAAAAGGTAGGTGAGATCTTTCTACAGTGAGAATAATTAGGCTTATTTTTTGAAGAATGAAGACCGATTCTGTTCAAATATTAAGCATCTGATGTTGTTGTTTTGGCGATTTACTAATAGTTAAATATCACATTATATGGTTTAACCTGAACAAAACTGCTGTTGCTCAGAATATTCCATGTCAATCAGGCTAATGGGATCTTGTGGAGTGTTTATACTTTTGATTTAACAAGAATAATGACATTTGATGAGTTCCAAAATACTGATTACTATAAATAATTACCTGACCTCAGTTGGTCTGATATATTCATATGGTGAGTCATTGGCGAAGAGATTTAATACCTCACCAGTGAATATGAAATAATTGATATTTCATTGGCTATAGGTATCGTTGGTGACCTAGGAACTAAGAATAATAATTGTCATACCAAAGCACGGGTATGTGGATCACCAACGTAGATGACCTATGTCAAGTGATCGGAGGCCTACTCGAGTTAGACGGGAATGGAGTGACGAACCAGCTAGTGTCGAAATCACACCTCGTGATCAGCACCCTACGTGGACTACCCCATTGACGTATCAATGTACCACAGATGCTTTGAAGACTGTACAACATAGAGGACGTTATTACAGAAATATATTAGTTAAAGTGGATACACGCGAAAGTAAAACCACTGCCACATGGGCCAGTCCATAGCGTACGATTAACTGATGCCTGTTGGTTTTCCTTGACCTTGACGAGGAACGATGATTTGTTTGATATTCAATGACCCAACTGCCGGATGATTTGGCTAGGGCTCAATGGAATTTCACTGATACTACATGTAATTCAGTGTGTAAATAGTGTTGAATTGAAGGAGCAAGTGTTATCGCGTTGAATTGAAAAGGTGATAAAACAAAAGTTAGGTTGCAATAGTATTAGTACGCTTAAATAAAAAATATTCAACTTCTCTAAGAGTACGAAAGAGGTAATGTAGAATTTTTAAGAGAAACCTCTCTGTGCAACCTAGATATCGTATTGGAATGATGAACAGATCTAAGTTAGACCACCATTGGAAAACTGGAATTACGATGTCCGTTCAACCCTAGTATGAGACGCCTCAGGAGCGTGCATCCACGGTCACACATACGGGAAAGTGACCTAGGACCTTCGGTTGGTTCGCAAGTTCAATTGATTTCAAAAGTCTCGTCTACCCCATACTGAAAATTATCATGTGGTTACTGGTGACTAGCTTTGAAAAAAACATTTCAGAGTCCTGGTGAAAAGCCGTGCCCAGTGTAGCCAAAGCGTGTCGGGTGTGAGGGAGTTGCCGACCGAAGACAATAGAAGATGGTCACACGATATTGTGGATTGATTGAAGTTAGACATTAACGTCGTTGGATGCCGACTCAGTAGTATAGTGGATAAGCGCTTGAGCGTGAGACCAAAGTTTTTGGATTCGGTTCTTGCGTGCGTTCCATACTAAGACGAAACAACCTTCCAATGGTAGTCTAACTAAGATCAGTTCATGGTTTCAATGAAATTCAACTGTCTTTACAACCCTTTTTCGATAATCTAGTTGTTTCGTGAACTTGTACTCCTAAAGCGAAAAATGAATTATATACGTACACTTGAATCACTGTCTTCTGTCCGTTCATAGTGAATGTATAATAGCTTCGGTTCGGGCACCCGGGCAGTATCACAGCCCACACACAAATTGATGAACTCTTTATGTCTATGAAAATTACTTTTCTCGCTTCGAAAAACAACCAATTGATTCAAATTATTATCATTACAATTACTGTCATTATTAATACTATTATTATTACTATTATTGTCATTATTATTATTATTATTATTATTATTATTATTATTATTATTATTATTATTTTCCACATTATTCACCCTCTTTTATACTTATACAGCGGCTCGTCTTTGGTGGAAATTCGACTGTATCTAAACGTTCTCGAGTCACTGTCCGGTTGAAAATTGTATGTTACCACCGAATACGAGGACTGAAGCAGTTTTTCCGAAACCACGTGCACCATTCAAACTGGCTGCCTTCAACAACCCCACACTTATGCAGGTCGGACAACAGATAGGGCTGGCTATGTCTTTGGAAAGTCTTAATATTGATGTTTGTTGTCTATCCGAGACCCGTATTCAAGACTCTGGCAAAGTACTAAAAATTCGATCTTCATCTGTTGCTTCGAAAAGCTTGTTTTACGTGCGCTTATCCGGGGACCCTGTGGCATCTTCGTCTGGTCTTGCTGGCGTTGGTGTCGCACTAAGCGCTAGAGCTGAGGCAGCACTAATCGATTGGATCCCCATTAACAGTCGGTTATGTGCTGTTAGATTAGAAAGTTCCATCAAAGTGAGAAGAAATCGGCGTGAGAAACGATGTCTTTTCGTCATCTCCGCCTATGCCCCGACAGATTGCAGCCCGGATGCAATCAAGGATGAGTTTTACCACCAGTTATCTGTTCTTCTCCAGAAAGTACGTTCGACAGATATTGTAGTACTAGCCGGAGACTTGAATGCTCAGGTTGGGCGTCTAGGCACAGAAGGGAGTCGTTTAGATGGCTGATGGGGACTCGTTGGTCGCAGGTCAGATAACGGGGACCGTCTACTGCAACTGTGCACAGACCACAACCTGTTTCTGGCTAGCACTAACTTTCGGCACAGTCATCGCCGATATGCCACCTGGCGTCCTCCCTCTGCATCTCAAGCCTGGACTCAGATTGATCACATCGCGATCAGCTACCGCTGGCGTGGTTGTGTACAAGACTGCCGCTCCTTTTGGAGTACCTATCTGGACTCTGACCATGCCCTGGTCTGCGCCAATCTTGCCTTACTTTTCAGTGGCCAACGAAGTGACCACCACCAAAAGATTGATGTTAGCAAGCTGGTTGCAACTTCTGTTGCAAATAAGTATCGAACCGAGCTAGCCTCTAGGCTAGCTACCACTCCACCGAAAAGTATAGATGAGCATTGGTTGCAATTGCATGACGCCATGAAAATGGCTGGAACAGTCAGTTGTGGGTTTGCGAAACGTCCCGCTTTTAAGCACTGGGTTTCTCCAGGTTCCTTACAACTCATTGAAGCCCGTCGGTCTACTCCGGGTGACCGTGAGTTTGACCATAAACGAAGGATGTTACGTAAGGAAATTGGGCAAAGCTTGCGTAAGGACCGAGAAGCCTGGTGGTCGAAGCGTGCTAATGAGCTGGAAGCAGCAGCTGCATCTGGTAACTACCGGAATGTCTTCCAGCTCATCCGAGCCACTGGCAGCAAGAAGTCTGATGTGAGTGAAACAATCTGCGAGGATGACAAGATGCTGTCCACTAACATCTATCGACGTCTTGGACGGTGGGCAGAATTTTTCGAAGGGCAGTTCAACTGGCCTGCTGCTCCGGCAACATCGGTCAGACTGTCCTGCCCTCCATGGCCGGTGACGACTGATCCACCAAATGAAGAGGAAGTCCGCAAGGAACTCCAACTCTTGAAGCGTTACAAATCACCTGGCCCAGATGACTTACCTCCGGCTCTTTTTAAAGATGGTGGTGACTTTTTGACTAAGGAGTTGACGACGTTGTTTACAAAGGTTTGGGAACTAGAGAGTGTACCGACGTCATGGAATGAGTCGATAGTTGTCCCTATCTTTAAAAAGGATTCACGTCGTTCCTGTAACAACTATCGGGGGATAAGTTTACTTCCGATTGCGTCCAAGCTATTGGCTTCCGTCATTCTTCGTAGGTTGTTCAAAACCCGAGAAAGATTGACTCGCGAGGAGCAGGCTGGGTTTCGTTCTGGTCGAGGATGTATTGATCATATCTTCACCCTCCGCCAAATGTTAGAACACCGCCATACTTTTCAAAGGCCAACAATCGTAGTGTTTCTTGACATCAGAGCTGCCTTCGATTCGTTGGATAGGACTGTTCTCTGGGATTGTCTATTGAAGAAGGGTGTGCCTGAGAAGTTTATTAACATCCTGAAAGCCCTATATAAAAACACCTCAGGCAGAGTGAGGGCATACAACCACCTCTCTCCATTGTTCCATTCGAGCAGTGGGGTTAGGCAGGGTTGCCCAATCTCACCATTCCTCTTCAACTTTGCCATTGATGACATTCTGGAAACAGCTCTGATGAATGTAAGTAATGGTGGTGTGGATCTGTTGCCTGGAGAAAGACTTCTCGACCTTGAGTATGCGGACGATATTGTCTTACTGTGCGATAATGCCCAAGGCATGCAATCCGCACTTAATCAGTTGGCAATCAGTGTCCGTAGGTATGGTATGTGCTTTGCACCTTCGAAGTGCAAAGTACTTCTACAAGACTGGCAGGATTCTAATCTTGTACTCACCCTGGATGGTGAGCAGATAGACGTAGTCGAGAAGTTCGTGTATCTGGGTAGCTGCATAAGTGCTGGTGGGGGTGTGAGTGATGAGATCAATGCACGAATAGTGAAAGCCAGAGCGGCTTATGCCAATCTGGGCCAGCTTTGGCGCCTTCGTGATGTTAGTCTGGCTGTAAAAGGCCGGATCTACAACGCGTCGGTGAGAGCAGTTTTGCTCTATGCTTGTGAAACCTGGCCTCTCCGAGTTGAGGACGTTAGACGACTCTCTGTGTTCGATCATCGCTGTCTCCGAAGGATTACTGACATTCAGTGCCAACACCATGTCAGTAATGCAGAGGTTCGGCATTGTGTGTTCGGGCACAGAGATGATAATTCAATTGGTGTCACCATCTTGAAACACCGACTTCGGTGGCTTGGACATGCTCTCCGAATGTCGTCCCAGAGAATTCCACGTCGTGCATTATTTGCCGACTCTGGGACTGGTTGAAAGAAGCGGAGAGGTGGTCAGTGCATGACATGGTGTCGTGGTATGAAAGAAAGCTGCAAAGGACTGGCTTCTGTTGGTCCTTCACGACTCCCTGGTTGGAGTCTGAGAGATGGTGCTACACAGTGGCTAGAGACGTTATCAGATATGGCTCAAAATAGAAGCCAGTGGCGATCCTGCTGTAACCTTCTTTTACTTTCTTCATAAAAAGTGGTTGTGTCTCCTTTACCTGAAAGATTTCTTCTGATTGTACCTTTTCGTTCCGTCGTTACTACCACACTACCTTACTCCAATCTCTTCGTCATTGTCCTCTTTTTCTTTTGCGCTCCTTAGTTTTTTTCTCTACTTCTCTTCGAATTCTCATTGTTTTGTGTGGCGCATATATATTGGCGCTCTCTTGTACCAATATTCATGTGTTCAAATAAATAAATAAATAAAGCTAATCTCATCAAGTTGATCATTTCCTTCTTTAAAACTGTTATACCATGTAAAGCTGAAGATCCATATTCCTCAATCTGTCTTAGCGTATTTTATTTTAAAGTTCCATAATATACTGAAGTACTTGTATTTCTTACTTCTCTTATTAGAATGTAAATTTTTGCAATTTACTGTTCATTTATGAGTTCACTTTGCGATCAGTCTGCAGTTCACTTGTAAAGTATGGTGTTAATTATTAGGGGCAATATCTACCAATGAAATTCTTCTTTACTGAGTGCGGTGTTGCCTTACAGTCAAGTGTACCTTTTTAGCCTTTGTGATTAGTAAATTACGGTTCCATTTCTGAAAAAATATTCAAGTTCTCATAAATGATCATTTTAAAATCCATTTTCAGTAACAAACACGTTTTTGTTGTCTACAGTAATCTTGCATAGATAGTTGTCTGATCATGACTACTACTCATTTTAACCACAGTGTTCGAGACACTGATATATTGTTACTCTTTAGAGGGTTATTATAGAAATTTGGTCCAATTTTACAGTACGTGTATATTGAGTACAATTGAAACCAGTGTATTTTCCAATTCTCGCTAGGTCTTGAAATACTGACCAACTCTTTATTAGAGAAATTGATTCTTCATGTAACATGGAAACTGTTACCTTGACAATATGATTGTTCACTTGTTAAACTTCCAACCATTAGTTTGGTATGACTACCTGGTTGAATTCTTGTTCCCCAGTTAATGAGCTTTTAACCTTACAACGAACCATAACGAGAAACTAACATGATATATATATGGTTTATTTTACTATCGTATTGTCTCTATGTGTTATGTTTGTAGAATCCATTTACTCCAGCTAAATATTACAGTATTGATCGTGTATTTCGAAATGAAAATCTGGACGCTACTCATTTGGCAGAATTTCATCAAGTTGAAGGTCTAGTCGCTGACTTTGGTCTTAGCTTAGGCCATTTGAAAACTGTAATTCGAACTTTCTTTTCAAAGTTAGGACTTACGCAACTGAGATTTAAACCAGCATACAATCCATATACTGAACCGAGTATGGAAATTTTTAGTTATCATCCTGGTGAGTAAATAATCAAGAATGCTTTTGTGCGTCATTCTTATAATTTGCTTATTTATTTGTTCCTTTTTACATTAACCCAGGTTTCCTATTCATTGGTCTAGTGTGGCTTTTTTGGTACATTGCGGATTAAGTGTTCAGTGTCTGTGGGATGGGCTACAGGAAAACCCGTAGCATTCTTGTTTTAACGGTCTCCTAATCATTAGTGTTTTTTAGAAAGTGGTTGCAACCTAAATATAACACGAATTTTTCAGGACTGTGAACATGTTTTAATGACTACTAGCAAGTCCAAAGCCTTGTTTCATATTTACGTCCAACCGGCACCCAACATTGCTACTGTATAAGCTATTGTGAATAAAGTATAGTTTCGATCCATGACTCAACTTGAAAAAAACACTATCCATTGTTGTGACAAACTACATTTTCTAGTTCGTTTATGGTAGATTTTTGGGGCTTTTTTCCACTAATCTGGAGATTTAGTATTCAACTAGTAAGTCACAGTTGAGAACTCCACCTCACTTTACAATAATCTACTTAGTACTACAAACCATCATAATACTTATGGTCTAACGTCTCATATACCGATATTTACATTCTACTGTTTCTCCGAATTTAAATTTCAGGTCTCAAGAAGTGGGTAGAAATAGGTAATTCTGGACTATTTCGTCCGGAAATGCTTAGACCAATGGGGTTACCTGAAGGATTGTCTGTTATAGCTTGGGGATTGTCTCTGGAACGGTGAGCTAGTTTTGAATTTGCTCTTTTTGGTAACACCTATTTCCAGATCATTTTTTATTTCACTGCTGTATCGTAGGACATGACGTAATAGTAATTTTATTTACCCTGTTAGTGAAGACGTGTCACCTTTGTCTATACAAAATTTAGGGAATAATACAACACACTTGCACTCATTGTGAGGGTAACTAATATAACCATTTTGTCCAGACGAAATGAACAACGTTCTCTCTAAAGGGTTAAAATTCACAAATAAAGATTATTCTGATAAGACAGTCATACACTCAACCACTCATCACCATAGTAACGTAAAATCTTCTGTAAGGGTGAGTTAGATCGCTATAAGCAGCTAGCTTTCTACGTGCAAAATTGATCGTATTTGACAAATCTTTAAAAGCATTTTCACAGCTATCCAAATATGAATCGACGTTTCAGCTATTTGTAGCAGTGTCTATCAGTCTCATTGAAGTTCTTAACGCTTTTATGGAGAAGAAAAGTACATTCGTTACTTTCGAACACCGACAACCACCTGACTGTTGTTTAAGTAATCTATCCTATCGACAAAATGTTCTTCCCTAAGTATCGAAAAAATTCACATCACATATTTGTACTTCATATCTTGTTGATGGTAAAATGAAAGAGGAGTTCTGTGACTGACCGGCCCTTTCCTACTATTTTATTGGCTTAAAACATGACTTCTTGTAATATAACCACCTTTGTCCTCCAGAAAATTAATAGTTAGTTCTAAATCCAATTACGCTTAATATTTAATTGGGATACTTGTCTTACTTGCCGGAAATATGCTGTGATCTTAATAGGTGACCTGAATTTCAACCACTAGGCCTCAGATCCTAACGTTGTTTTTCTAGTGCGACGACTGCAGTAAAATCAGATCCCTTTCAACCACATTCGAAACGTGGTTTCTCGATGGGCAGATGCAATTTAGTATACGTGTCTCTGAGATACAGCTCATAACAATAACAAGATTTCTTAAACATGTCGTTCGGTGTGCACCTAGGTGTCTAGGTACGGGCATTAAGCTTAAACGGCACCTGTACCTTAAATTCAAGTAACAATGTGTCGAATTCTGATACGACTTTCAAAAATCAACAATTTGAGTAAGTTCGAATTTCTCAAAAAAACTGAATAAAATTTCAACCATGATACAAGGTAGTTGAGTTACATAAACATTGAAAGTGTAAATAAAAAAAGATTATAAATCACATAAAAACAAAAATATACTTATTATTAAAATGGCACACAAATGTGAAGTGGTATAAAATAGAATTCGCTGTGAACAAAGTAACTCAAGTTGATGAGCTCCAGTCTGTAAGGTGAATGATTCATTTTCTTCATTTGTATTTTTATAGTTGATGCCATGCCTATGATATACTGCTGAATACATAGAGTAAAGTAGGTAATTTTCTTTGATAATATGTCGAACGATTAGTCTGGAGGATCTAGTTCATAATACTACGGTAAAGCAATATCAGGAAATGCATTTCCAAGTTTGCTCATTTACACCTTTTCATCCCACTCTTGTTGACACGCCTAGTTTTATGAGGGTAATAAGTATTACTTCCACATAAAATAATATAAATGAATAACTGTATAAGACAGTTTACATATGAAAGGTGGACTCACTTCACTTTCGACCGTACCAAGGTAATTTGTGAGCGAGAATCGCACTTAAAATAACCCACCGATTATGTCGAAAATGTGAGTATATATTGTGCTGATGAGTACAACTCAAAAATAAACTATTACTTGACATTCAACTGACTGTCTCCAATTAACTGAATAATTTACTTTATATCGTCTTTACTACGTTCATGTTAGTCTTCCATTATCGTTAATTTTGTTTTGTTACAAAATATATCACATTCTACCCTCACAAACCTTTTCATGTGGTTCTGTATTGTGTTTTTTACCACTCTGTTTTTGTTACTTAGTCCAACTATGATTCGATATGGTTATAAAAATATTCGTGATTTAATTGGTCCAAAAATTGATCTTAATATGATATACAAGGCACCATTGTGTCGAATGTATAAGTGTTAGCGCCTGGTCTCATACTATTTAATATCGGTAAGTTGTTTGTGGAAATGCTAATAAATGATTCAGCCACTCAAAAGATGTCACGAATAACCTTTACCGATTTATATCTAAACGTCTGCAACTCATAAACATAACTATAAGTAACTGATCACTAACTATAATAATACCACAAAATAATTGTTTTGTAATAATATTAGGTAGTTCGTTTGAAACACAACTAAACTTCACATTTTCCTTTACTTATTTCATCCAAACATCAGCAATCTGTGGAGTCAACTGAGTTAAGAGTAAAGCCAGGTGTACACCGCTTACACTCGGAGGTGATTACTCCGTCTCGCTAATTAACTAAAGTAAGAAACTGTTACTTAATGAATCCCCAAACCAGATCAGAAACTGTTCTTTATGTCCAGATTTTAAATGAACTGTAGTGATGAAGTCAATTCATGTTGCGAACTATTTTCGAGCTTATTACGTCTCTGTAGAAAGTTGATTTAATAATATGATAATTACTAGCTAATATTAAACAAAATTTCGATGAGCATTAATATTAACCAAGTGCACGTTCGCATCATTTTGAAGCGTTTAGCGTTTCTCAAAGAGTGCACAAGTGTTTTTTGAAGATATGTAATTCGACATGTCTTATTTTACTACAGACTAATTATCAAGTCGTTCATTTCGGTAGCCAGTATTTTTATGTTCAACTTGCTTGTTGTTTCTCATCACTCCAGTGAATGTTTTGGCCATACATTAGAAGCGTACTAATAAATAATCAATAGTAACCTTAGTTCACAGAAATATAAAGACATCAGAAGTTCATAACTGGATGGCCTCTAATATCATTGATATAAGTTTTTCTCATAACTTGTCAACCTGATTTACTAGCATGAGAACAGTTTCATATTATATTAATAATTTTCTACTTCTCGTGCTAATCGCGTATTGTGGTCCGTTAATTCCCTTCATAATTTCTGCAAATATGCATCACTGTATGTTGAACATATTTTAGCTAACTTTTACCACTTCAAACCGACCCCACTAAAAACACTGATTTTATCGCATCGAGTCATGAAACTCATGTATATTTGCTTATTGACATGTTTCAACTAGTTACTTTAGTTAAAGGCACGCTTTATCGTAATTTTTAGCGGCCGGCAAACAAATACATAAACCTGCAATCCAGTGATTCAGGTTTTTCTCTATTTTACCCGTAAAATCTAAGATATCTCAATTTCATGACAATTTAATGGTTAACTTCCACTAGTTTCTTATATGGAGATGTTTTTTAGATTAATACTGACAATGATTTGTCTTGATGTTGCTTAGGTTACTGACTCAGCACAAGTTTAAACTTGCTAATATTTCGCCAGTTAATTAGTACTATTATCTTGGACACTGTGGTCGCCAATACCAACAAGTCGTCTTTTAACTCAAGGTAATGGTGAATTCTGTCCGGGAGATTTCCTAGAATGACCAGGGAAGACTAGACTCAGTGAACAGCCACTGCATCAGCAAAACCCTTGAAATTGTAGCAAAATACATTATAAAAGTAACAGACTAACTAGGGTAGCGTCTACAGCTGAGACGAAATTAGAAGACTTGACGTGATGAAATTTGGCGGCAAAACAAGGAAGTTTTGGAAACGTGGCATTTTCTGGTTATTTAAACCGCTTTAGCACTTTTTGCATTATGTATGAAGATCACGCGTAGTGCATAAGTTTGTGAAGTTGTGACGTACTGGTATAACTGGTGGACTTCCAACTGGTGTTAAGTGATTTAATCATGACTGGCCTACAGACACATTGCTCAGCTTTAATTATTTATTGATTTTAACGCATAGATATTGGTACACGGAGGCAGCAAATACATATGTACCACACAAATCTCATTTGATATATGTGGGGGATGTGATACTGCCCGGGTGCCAAAACTGGAGCAGGTGGTTTTCTTAGGGAGTCACACCCGGAGCCTTCGACCTAAAGGTCTAATCCACAAGGCAGTGGGGCATCGTAAGGAGATGCAGTCCCATGGTAGCTGGTGACCAAAGATTGGTTCATACACCATTTGTTTCTTCAGGATACTGGAGCCCATATGCACCATTGGGTTGGAATCAGGGTTATTTTCCAACTCCCCTAGGTGGACTCTCCATGTGCACCAACCCGGTTGAACCGCCGGACATTCGCTTTTAATCCTCTCAATTTCGTAAACAACACTCGTGGTGCGAGAAGACAGTGAGTAAGACTTCCTTGGGAATGATTGTATGCATATGGCTTCCCCGGCAGAGGCTGTATACGCGTAGCCATGTGAGAGCATTCCGAGAGGGAGAGCGGACTCCCCACTCTCGGCCGTACTAGGGCATTTGGGGCATTGCACAGCTTTTTTGTTACAAACTTCATCCCCTCATTTGTATTATTATCTCCAAACCTTCCATATCGATCTAAGGGGTGGTTTTCTGTACATAATAAAGATGACAACCCAAGAGTGCTTGGTCTTACATGTAGGGGACATCAGACTTACTCGTACTAGGGAACTACACTCGCCTTATACTTTGAGTCAAGGTTTCTTTTAGTAGAAACAGCCTCACTGCCTTTGGTGAGTGATCTCCATGGACAAGTAATCCGTATCCGGTATTAACAGTATCCGACCGCTCTTTCACAAACTCACAAAGGTCCTTAAGTAAAGGTTCTCTATCCATCTTAAAACTTTGACAGGCTATTTTCGCCCATTTTCTTTGTAAGTGTAGTGAGATTTTCAAAAACATTCTTGATAGTCTTTGTGGAATACATAGTTCATCTATGTGAGTGTCCACAAATCTGCATCTCACGAGACAGTCTTCTTAAATTATATGGAACAGTCTATTTAATTGCAGGGATGTTCAGCATCTTATCAATAAATTAACGGGCTACGATGTGCTTCTGACCGAATGATTCTTTGAGAGACTCTAACGTCTTGGGACAGCCTTTTGGTTCAAACAAGACACAGTGAACAATAGTAGCCTTGGCTTCATCATCACCATACTGAATCAAATGGTTTAACCTAGATTGGCATCCAACGTTTTCATTGAAGCAGTCTTCGAAATTCTGTATGAAACTAAAATAGTCCATGGGATTACCATCAAACTTTATGATCTTTCTTTGGTAGGTCTGAAGTTTTAGATATCATTGTCTTTTCCAGTAGGGAGATTAACTCCACGTGAGGCAATTGTAGACTCGTACGGCATCACCTTGTCAGCCATAACTTGACTATAATGTTCTCTTCCTCTTTGACGTAACCTATCCAGTTCAATTTCTTTTCTGTCTGAGCTAAGCGTACTTTAGCTAATTCTAACTCTAACGAGGAAGCCATTCAGTAGCCATCTCCTTCAAACTGGTCATCACTATGAGTTTTTAGATAGTGGTGAGACAGTTCAGGAATCTGATCAGCCTTATGATTCTTCTCCGTCGACATTTAACAGCACTCAAGGTATGAATTTCTAATGAGATAATGGTCGGAGCTTTGTAGGATTTAATTAGTCCTACAAGTACTCTACCGGTACTATAAACGCGAAACTAACGATCCAGAGTCTATGTGAAAGCTATAGTCAGAACAAAGACAACTTGGCTTTAAACTTGATCTGTTCAAAACGTAAAAGTAACAATTTGATTAATACAATAATTAAAGGAATTATAGTCGTTAAGTGAAACGCTCAAAACTTTCGACGAGTATTGCGTGTCTGATCGAAACGAATAAAAAATGTGAGTTGTAGTCACACAGGTATGATAGAACAATGATATCCTTTAATCGGTAGGTCATATGCAACAGGAATAGTCTACAGGCACACCAGATCAGGTTGACGTGCTAGGTAGCAGCAACTTAATTGGTTCGTTATAGACATAACTAACATTATTGATCCTGTGTTGTTGAAGCATCCAAGTTTAATTTTTACGGATTCTTTTGTTACGAATAATGTAAATAAGAAATTACTTCCAGTTCATTAAAATTTACAAAGTAAACAATTTGTTTCTGTTAAGCAATAAGCTATATATAATAACTCGAGCTAACATTTTATTCCGAACACCTTGTCGCCATTCCTAAATGAATACTCCCCTTGGTTGCACTGTTACTACATCTTCCAGTTAATTGGTTAAGTTGTTCGACTCACTGAACTGTGGTGTTAAATAAAATAGGTCTCACATTGATGCAACAGGTAACAATTCCATATATAAAATATCTTGTTAAAACTTTCATTTTTCACTATATTGAAAGTAAATTGGTCAGATATAATTGCTTCTATTGTTTACATTAGTTGTATTGTCTTAATTTTCCCTTATGTTTTCTCTATTTTAGAGTCTTATTCCATTGTGATTTAATTTTTGGCATCGGTTGTTCTTGCAAACTTTTGGAAGATATTTTGCATGTCTGTAAATGTACTTTGCTGTACGTACTATTGAATATCCTTGATAAGATTATAGAAAGCCAATTATTTCTAACTTGAAAGTTTGCTTGTCTGCTTTGTAATTTCAACCGTTATGATGTAACATTTGTATCTTGAGTCAATGACTTACTAGTGTAAACGGTCGATAGGTTCAGACCCAACTCCACCTTACACATTAAACTATTGGTGGTGTATTTGACCACTACCTAAACTCTTTTTCAATCTCTATCATGATTATCATTATCACAAAATATCGGTGTCTTCCAGTACTAATAAATTCTATAGGTAGTTAGATTATTAGTCGAGTTTTCCAATCACATGTCGAAACCAAGTGGGTCGTGTTAGGTTCTATCATACTTAAGAAGTCGATTGTATGCGTAAAATGTTTTGAAGGTACTTAATCAGGAAAACTTTTGATTTTTCTGTCTTACTACATTCTATAATCCCTTACTTTTGTGTCAGTGTTAACTAACATCTGGGATATCCCACTGTATGTTCGTTCAGTCAGGCTAATTGCTTATTATAACCATGCAATAATATGTCGATCGTGTTGTTGCTTTCTACTGTACTCTACTCGCCCGATAATTTCATAGTTGTTCGATACCAGATGAATTCGCGTAACCTGGTTTATAGTTTCTAGTGCAGGAAATTGCTGTAGATTGTCAGATCGTCTGAACTATAGTGTTAAAATAACAATAGAATCGGTCATGACCAACTTCGGTCCGGGAATGGGTGTGTAATGTCACAGGTTTGGGAACCACAAAGTTGTTGCGGTGAAATATGGTAGGGGTTAGATGCATCTGGATTATTGTGGCTGGTTCTTAGCTATGTCACCTATAGGCTCTAACCACCAGTCATGGTTATCTCTACCTTTTTAGGTAGTGTGCGTCTACCAACAAACCAAATCAATAAAAGTTAAGTACGTCATAGACTCATGCCAAGCGTGTTTATCCACCTGTTTTCCCAGTTCATACCAGCAAACATTCTCTGTCGATGTAGATCACTATTTGGCATGGTAAATAACTGCTACAAACCATCCCTGTCAATAAAAAATTCACCGAATTGGCATCCTTTTCAATAACGAGGTGTTCATTTTAATATTTTTCACTTAGTCGTTAAACCACGCCAGAGTAGCAGTTCGAAAACCTGCCTGATTTCGTAAATGGTGTTTCACAGCATTAGTGTAGACATTTATTGTTATTCATGTCCAAACTTTAGATGCTGCATTGAAGTGGTGGTCGGATTTCCCTTTCACGTCCTATGTTGACTGGGACGCATGTTCCTTTAAGTTCTACCATACCGGTTAGGTCGGTCGAATAACGGTAAAACTTAGAGAAGCAAGGTACTGTCCGAGTGGGAAGTACTGCCAATTGCGGAGGTTTGTGGTTAATGTATGGTCTTCCCCTCGGACAACAGCACAAGCACCGATGATGCGTTCTCACAATGAAGGAAGGGTTTACAAAACGTCGACGCGAAAAATGTCAAATTTTGACTTACTTCACAGACCTTCAGCCGTAAAGATTATGGAAGTGTGGAGTTAACACATTGGAACTTCCCGTAGATAAGCCATTATCCACTGGCCTTAAGCAGTTGTCCGTTGGGTTGTGTGGACAACGTCAGGTCACTGAGACCTTCATGACTTCGGTTTATCTTTCAGATCCTCCAAATAGAAGCGTCTTTACATAGTGTGCGTGTCCTGGGGATGGCATCCACCTTCGCACCTCTAGTAGCATCCGGGATAATCTTGATCACAATCAAGTCCATCCTTCACCTCCTAATAATTCTATCCTCACAGTCGGCTATTCTCGTTTATCTTTATCATCACGCGCCACCAATGCTTATGATTTAAGTTCAAGAAAGGTTATTCTTGGTCTCCTAAAACCACCTCCGGCACTACAGGTTGGAAAAAGGATACACCGGCAAAGTACTAAGGAAAATAGGTCCCTTGACATTGCATTTATTGTTGGACGAATGAACTCAGACCCATAAATCAACTTCGGTCGTCAGAATGTGTTCGATATACTAAGGAGACTCTGCTTCATCGAGACGATGGAGTACCTGAGAAGATAGTCACTGTTGTACGGAACGACTACGAAAAAACTGCGTTGCGAAGTCGTGTGTTGAGAGTCAGCTCACAGATGCGTACTAAGTGAAGACTGGTGGTAAACAAGAGTGTCCGTATTCACTCTTTCATTTTCTGTGAGCCCCCAATTAGAATATGAGTGTCTCCTCATCTCAGGAAAGTCACAGTGGAAACCTTGAACGCGTTTGGGCGACTTGAACTTTTAGAGTGATTTGTCTGTACGTCATGAGCCCATGCTGAGTATGTTCGTCCGCCTGTTTCGCCAACTATTATACCAGCTAACGTTTTCTGCCGATGCGGGTGATAGTTGAATATATAATATTTGATTGTTTGAACATATAGTTGAATAATTAGTAGTTCTCTATATATTTCTGTCAGTTATATGTATCAGGATGCAAACCGTAAGTTTAAGCGTTATTCCATAGACCATGATATCCTGTGTTTCTACTCGTTGTTTCGTTGCTTTTTACGCCTACATTTTTCGTCATATGTTGCACATTGATTGATAGTTCAAAAAGATCTTTCTTTGGTCGGAATGTTTGCAAAAGACGCTCAATGTAATTAAATCTCTGTTCACCTGTATTGTGTATATCCATCTTTTTACTAGTTGTACTATATATTTGTTCAACCCCGAGCCTTGATTTCGTTTGCCCTTAGTTTTGCCTGTGAACATTTTATTTTTATGCTGCATCTGATATTGTGCTTTGTATTTTTCTCTCAGTACACTCAGTCATTCAGCGTTTGCTTTAACATTTATTGTTATGAATATTTTGTGATTCGATATATCCGATTTTCGCAGCATACACTCAAGAATTTACAAATCCAACTGATTATAAATCGTGCATCATTTTGATCTAATTAGTTGAAATCCATATAACATAAAGAGATTTAGTCGGTTTTCGAAAATCATATATATCTTAATTTCACCCTAATAATTGCTTCAGACAATTCACATGTCTCAGCATAAATTTTTAACTTAAAATAGTGAAACAGCCATACTCTTAATTTTCATCACAAATGACTGAACTTTGGCTGAGGCGTGCGAGTATTCATTCACCTTGAGGTTGTAATTACGTTACTGGGTCCAAGCTAAGTCGCGAGCTGGGACGGTCAAAAGTACCGTTGGAATTTCAGGTGCCTTTCATTTCCCATCCTTTTATAACATATACTTGTTTCAACTACCTTCTCTATTCTAGACTTATATATGTGTTCTTCCTCAATTTTCTCACGACCTACTTTTTAGTTTTTTGAGTAGCATACACAGTGAAGGCATTGTCGTCAATACTTACACAATAACCTTAAGAATGACTAGTGGGGGGGCGATTTCGTGATACGTGACGAGCCATAAAATCTTATCTAATAACAACGTTATGAGTAAATCAACAACTACACTAGATAGTCGACTTTAATATGCTGTGTACAGCTCGGTCTACTTGACACTATCGCCAATACCTAGTCTCCAACTAGACACTGAGGACCACACCACAACATAGATTCTCAGTCCTAGAACGACCATTAAGAAAAAGATTAGAAGACATTCTTTATTCCGTGATGCAACTTACTCAAGAGAAAAGATAACCATGTTTACTGCATTGTATGTTTGTCTCTATTTAAAACAGGAAAGGCAGAATCGGGATGCATTTTTTCTAGTATCTGAGTCTGCCGTTGGTTTGAAACTGCAGTACATAAATAATACTACCGACTTAAGATACACCTGCCCGCGGTTCCGGTTCAGAAACAATACATGAAGCGAACTGGGAAAAGCGACGTACTCATCACCGTACTCGATCCATCCAACACAGCTTAAAACCCACACGAATATCTTAGGGACATCAACCTAGACACACAGATTTTTAGCAATAGGTCTGGTTTGTTGGAGTTCAAAAGGAAATCAGCAACATCAGAGTGTGGCTTGCTGGAAGATAGGACTGATTTTGATCAGAATGAGTGGAGGCAGATATTGTGTGATGCCAGATTGGCACCCCTACAAATCGTGGATTCTATATTGTAGCCAAAAGTCGTCCACAAGTTAGACATGACGGGCCGTGAGTCGTAAGAGATGTTGTTAGAAGATTGCTGATGAAATCTTAAGGATCAAATCTCACAATGATTCGCGGGGTGATTGAGCTGGTGAGTGATATTGTTGACGAAGCCTACAGAGATTATATGCAATAGTGGCGTTGACTATTACGTATCATTGGCCCTCATACTAATTAGATAATTAGTGCTTCTTGACTTCCTCGTCCGTAAAGCCTAACGACCATTAAATTTGATAGCCGTAATACTCAAAACCGAGAATACTAAAATGAAGCTCTCCAGGCATGGTAAACCTTGAAAAATGGCCTCTTCATCCGCAGATGATGTTGTGACGGCCGACCTAGAAAAGCCAAAAAGATAAACCTCAATGTAAGTTTATCTCCATGAAGAACCCATGATATAGGAAATTAAGGTCACGGTCCATCGAATGAGAAGCAATATACATGCGAAAATCCTTCAGGACCCCGTTTACGTAGAATTGTCGACGCATTCCAAACAGCATTTTTTCATAATCTCATAACCAGTTGAAAAACCAATAGATAAGGAGAAAAATAATCAAAAGTTTCCACAATAATGTAAGGAATTAAAGGGGTAAATTAACATAAATCAGGAACGAGTACCCTCACTTGGATATGTAGTTCATAGTATTAACTGAATCATGTCTCTCCTACATCGTCACTAACGAAGGATTGAGCACTCATTGCTTGACATTTCTGATATGACAAAGGCACGCTGATGTTGCTTCAACGTGAACGGCATCATGCACTTTGTCGAAGGAATCCTGCGGTTACCCATGGCTACCAATACTCTGAAAGATAATGTAGTCCAGGTGCCACAGTAATTACTTAGTCTAGAGTTCGACCAGGGACTTTAACATTCCGTGCAGTAATTGCAATAATCAGGTTACAGCACGTGCAGAGTGGTTTCACGAGGTGCTTGAAAAAGCCATCAAACGTTCGGGTAACTGAGCATGTGAGTAATGCCATGAGATATGGTAAGGACGGAGAACCATCAAAATTAGACCATTTGCGAATACCTAATTAATTTTAAATCAAAGATATCCATATCAAACCACCACTAGAGAGTAGCGACCATGGCACGTTCACATTTAATGTGGTCACAAACGAAGTGGCCATATGAGATTACTACAGCATCGTCAGTAAGTAGTTTCAAAAGAAAACTTGACAAACTAGTTTTCAATCATCAACCACCATCTACCGTTTAGACTAACTGGACATGGTCCGTGTCACGCAACTTGTCTACCATCATCATTAACATATGCGATTATCTTATTCCCATTTCGTTTATCTTCATCATCATTCTTGCTTTTCTTCTTGGAGTTCAATTTTCCCCTAATGCCTCCTTCATCGAATAATCAACCCCAATATTCACTTAGTTAGTTCTGGAAACAATCGTCTTTCCTTTGCACTCGAATTATCACTCTATTAAACTCCACATTACACTCACACGGATTACAAGATACACAAACCGACAAAAAAACTAGC